CCCACCTTGTCTTTCTGGAGGCATATATGGTACAGTTGTCAGAGAGGAATACTCAAATTTAGTCATTCATCTTTGTTAGTTTATAAAAAGCAAATGTACATCTGGCATGTAGACTGCAGGTCATAAAACTGCATGAGATTGACACCTTCTGAACTAATCAGCTGGAAATGCATTTTTACAAGCCTCTCTGCTAACATCAATCAGAGAAGGAATCTCATTTCCAACAGCCAAGATGCAGGGACACACTGTTTGTTATTTTTCTGCAGAGTTTATCAGTAACTTGCCCAAGCAAGTGACGGATGGTCATGAGTCTGGCTCCCTTTAACTTGAGAAAACATTTTTCATTCTTTGTCTATACTTAGAAGGCTAGGGCTATCTAGCACAACTAAGTTGATTACCCAGTTGCCCATATGTGGACTCGTACTGTAGCAAAATTGTTTTCGTGGGATAGCTTCTCAAAGTCATTGAGATTCCATTTTAGTCTCCGGAATATGAGGGTAGCTGAAATTTATATTGACATAGGAGCCTTGTCTAATAGAATTAATCATAAAAATCTCAAGAAAATCAGAAATAGTCAAACCCACTGAATGACGACATCAACGATCAACTAAGAGCCTTTCTTCAGTTTAAGCTTCTCAATGTAAGTGGTATTTTGATGTCAAGTACATAATATAGTTTATGTTTCCAGTCAATCCTTAATATTCTTGCTCTAGTTCTCTCTTTTTTTTAAAATATATTTTATTGGGGAATTGGGGGAGGGAAACAGCGTTGGGGAATCGAGGAAGGGGAACAGACAATTTGCTGTCCTTTTGTTCTTCAGTCTAGTTGTGGAGGATGTCGCTTCACTGGCCCATGTTGGTATTATCATTGCGTTCTTCCCAGGTGAGGCAGTTGCTCGCTGGCCATTGGACGGCCGCTCACAGCGGCTCACAGCAGCTCATGCCGGCTGCCAGCCACTCACGGTAGCTTATGGCAGCCCACTGAAGTTCCACTGCATCCTACCCAGTTGCTGGCAACTCAGGGCAGCCCAGCCCCAGGTCGAGCTGTTGTTCACTATCTTAGCTGTAGAGGGCAGTGTCACTGACCCTCATGTGGGATCCCAACTGGGGTTCTGTTGCTCAGAGCTGGCGCTCCCAAGCCAACTCTATTAACCAATGCACCACTCGGCCAGCCCGCCCACCACTTGTTTTTGTAAATAAAAGTTTTGTGTAGAAAAAATGTTTTACTGTAACACAGGCACACCTTAGTTTATGTATTGTCTCTGGCTGCCTTTGTGCTCCAATGGCAGAGCTGAATAGCTATGGCATAGATGCTGGCTGGCAAAGCCTTAAATATTTCCTATCTGGACCTTCACAGAAAGTTTGCTAAGTCCTGTCCTAACGGATTGTGGGGACTAGACAGTAAAAAGTGCATGCGATAAGGCAAAAGAGGAAATACCACAAGAAGCCAAGGCTGGGAAATATTAAAAAATGTCTATTAGCTGTAGAAATGCTATACTGCCCCATTATCCATTTTTTAGTTTGTCACTCTTCTGGTCATTAGATCAGCTGTTATATATTTAAAAATGATTACTAACGTGAGTTAATTATAGTTAGCCAAAATATCCCAAGGAAATAATATTTTATAACCTAATTGTTATCAGGTAACTGGTTAAATAAATGCAGGATTAGGATATCTGAGAGAAGGGTTCCAAATGAGGTGAGTCCCAGATACAATGGAATACTGGACAGCACATAAATGAATATAGGTATCCATACTATGTGTATTACACTAAGTGAAAAAGCTGCTTAAAATATGATTGGTATACCATGATCCCATTTTTGCTGAAGAAAATTATCTGAAAAATTATAAACCAACTTTATTTCTATTTTATATATTTAGTGTTTTCTATCTTTTGGACAATGACCATTGAACAATTTTACGACCAGAAGTAAACTTTTCATTTTACTGGGGGGAAAAATATTAAATATACCTCTAATACTGATTAGATCAAAGGCTTAAATCACAACCTTAAATTTTAGAGATTTGTTCATCAATACTCTGAATATATTTTCTCAAACTTCCTTGACAGAAAGGGTTGCTGGATCCCAAGATAAGACAAAAGTTTTACTGAGAAAAGAATGAATAGAAAGATTGAAGGGTTGCTAGTCATTCGAACACCTTTAAATTACTTATACACTGATGTTCCTGCGTCTCTATTCTAATCTAGAGGTTTGCTTTGATATCTTAACACTGTGAGCTCCTTGAAGGCTCATAGGGAATATGTAAGCACAATTTTCCTGGTGTTAGAAAAATTAACCTGAGCACTTGGTCCATTTTTTTTTTTGAAATCAAACAATGTACCCACATGTGAAATTCATCATACCTCCTATTCTCTCAAGAAAAAAACCTAAAATATTTTAATATTTTAACACGAGAAAAAAGCGAACAAGTGAGAGAATGAACTATATTGTAAGAACTGCTACCTTGGTAGAGGTATTAAATTTCTGCTTCTAACACATTTCTGCATATGCTTAGATAGTACTAAAGACCCTACCACCAATATTAATTGGCTCTGTAGCCAAATATACATGGGAACTAAATTCAAAGTTTGGAAGACAGCAGTTTTTTCAGTACTCATGCACATATTCTGAGCACATGGCTAAAGATTATGAGAACAGAGATCTTCAGAAACTACAGACAAAAAAGGAAAAGAATCATGTGCTTACAAGGAATATTGCTCCAAAAAATGTGATGTAGACTATTATCTGACATGAAAACACATACCTATACATTCTCCCATATACATTTTCCCTTTTGTCTTTTATATTGTACACAAAAATAAATCTGCATATTTCTCATTTTCTTGGAGGCACCTTAGTAATGGAAAGATGGAACAGCCTAGTGTCATTTACTCTGTAATATTGGGCATTAAGAAAAAAATCTGAGTCTAAACCTCATTTGAAAAATGGAGAGAGTAACAACAAAAACCTTACAGAATTGCCCTAACATAAAAAGCATTTCCCATAGTTATTAGGTACAAAAACTATAAACTTTTCTATTAATGGGCTTGACATGTAACACGATGTGTTCATTTCTTTCCCTTCTGGCACTCTCTTGCAATTACAAATCAAGTACTTTTAGAAATATAATTTACTTTGATTTAGAGAGTGAACTCAGTAAGAGGTACCCAGCTGACTGAAATGTCTCCTTCATTATTTTGGACTTTATGTCTTTGTTCTACTTATTCCATTACATAGTCCTTTCTCCTTGAAGAAAAACATTAAAACAAAATAGAAGTCGAATAATGCTGACTGCTTTCCTGGTCATGTCAACTTTACATTCTTAGCCACTACCATAAATCCTTGTGTTAACCTTGTTGCTGTATAAAATTTCAATTACTGAAGATACGTATGGGAATAAATGATGATTTTTGTGTATAAGACAATCTGGCTGGGCAGATTAAAAGGCAATGTCTTATTTTGGTCTAAGAAAGGCAACATATAAGATAAATTGCAAGTTTTAAAAATGACTTTCAGACTAAATAATAAGTAGTCGGGCAGAAATGGTTCCTTCTTAGTGTTTATTGTCTAGAAAAACAAAAAGAAAAGTTACTTGTTATTAACACTAAAAAATAAAAGATATTAATCAGATAATTTTAAAATGTAATTATAGGGTTGGCTGAGAGGTGTATTGGTTAAGAGCTGGCTTGGGACACCAGCTCTGAGCAGCAGGGCCCCGGTTCGGATCCCACATGAGGGCCAGTGATACTGCCCTCTACAGCTAAGATGGTGAACAACAGCTCGACCTGGAGCTGGGCTGCCGTGAGTCGCCAGCGACAGCATAGGCTGCGGCCCATGCTGTAGTGGGGTGCCATAAGCTACCGTGAGTGGCCGGCAGCCAGCATGAGCTGCCAAGAGCCACCATGAGCGGCTGTTCAGAGGCCAGCGACTGATCTGCCTCATCTGGGAAGGGCACAATGATCACAATACCAACACGGGCCAGTGAAGCAATGTCCTCCACAACTAGACTGAAGAACAAAAAAAGGACAGCAACTTGTCTGTTCCCCTTCCCCGATTCCCCAATAAAATCTTAAAAAAAAAAAAAGTAATTATATTTTAGAATTCCTTCCTGAATATTTAAATGCTACTATGTACAATTTTCTAAGAAATTTGGTTATTGGAATATGAAGTGATTACAAATGTAACCAAAATTTATAGATATGAACATATTCATGCAAAGATTCCAAAGAATTGATCATCTCAAAGTATCTGAGAAAGAAATGAAAGTAAAGAGGGGTAACTTCCCAAATACATGAACCTAGTTAAATGAGAATACAGTATGTTTAGGATTTTATATGAGAAAATAGAGGATGGGAGAACCCAGAAAGCCCTAGAAAGGACACCTACCTTTTGTACCCTAAAAAGGAACAGTCGCTCCTACAAACTGAGGCCCCTGTATATCTTCGACACCTAAGAAATATCACTTCCTATTTTCCATAGCATGTTATTGATGGGATGGATCCTACTCCTCAAGCGTTTGGGTTAAAAGAGATGCAAATCACTGGTCTAGAGATTCAGGTACAATAAAACATTTGTTCCTATGGTCTGTATGTATCAAGTGTAGAAGTCCTATTCTGATTTGTAAAAATTCCAGAAACTCAGAATACTTGAAAAAAATGTATCATTTTATTTGTACACTTAAAAAGTTGTACATAGAAACTTATAATACAGTTCTGTAAAACTGGAAGAACTGTCAGGGAAAAGGCGTGTTACACCTTTTATTGACTGATCATTAAGGAAGTTAAAAGAAATAAAACAAAAACACAATAAAATGTTTAAAAAAATTAAGGAACATTTTCCAGGTACAAATTTTATAAATACAAAACAAATTCACAAATTACTTTGAATGCTAAATAAATATCTAGTTAATAAACTCAGACTTAATACCTCCAGCCAGCACTGGTACAGCACTTCAAGGATATAACATTGGACTCATTCATGTGTAGTGTTGAAAGAATGTGCTCATTAAACAATTCTTAGACATACACACTTTTTCTAACCTGTGACAGAAGATTTACCTGTGCAGATAAATCTCCCTTAATACCACACTTCTAAGAAAAATCATCAATGACAAAATAAACCATAGGTGAAAAAATACTTTCCAAGATATTGGGACACATGAATGATCTCAAAATGTACAAAAGCCTCTGTAAACCAGTACTGTATCCAATACATCTATCAAACTCATTAGATACTGAACAAACTGTAGCAAAGGAAATCTTTCCTACATTCTCCTGAGTGCTTAATATTAAAATTGAGACTCTAGTGCAGGCCACATTTCAAAGTGGTCAATCAGTTGTTATTGCTTTATACACATGTATGCATTATAGCATGATTTAATGTTCCATTTTCATGAACAATTTGTTTTCCTCAAATATGTCCTTTAGAAGGACAAAATTAGATTCGTGACTTTTTTGCAGCCGGCGGTGTGCTAACTTGATCCACATTCCCAGGTGTGATGTGCAGTCCAAGTTTCTGAGCTTGAATATGAAAAAATGCTTGAAGCCTAGTTCCAGCTTTTGCTTCACTTGTGTTACGAGGGTTGTACTCAAAGCAGTTCGAAAACATTAACTCAATATCATCAATAAATTCAGCTAGAAAGAAAAACAAATGAGATTAGAATGAAAGTACATGAGTATATAAATATAATTTTCGTTTGTATATCTGGAAAACAGCCTTTACCTCTAAACAAAAAATAATTATCAGAGAAAAATTACTTACATGCTAATTTATATTCACATTTGTTCACTTTTTCACGAATTATATTTAAGGCAATGGGCTTTTTGATGATGTCATAATAGTCTGGGACCTGTAAAACAATTCAAATATTATCTCTCCTATATAAAGTTTATCAAAGGGGTAAGTGGTCAATAAGTGGTCAAATACATGAAGATTTTGCATTTAAAAGCAATTGCATACTACTCTCTGAATACTATTATTCCATTAAAACCACATAATACATTTCAGTTGTTTCATGCTGTAGAAGCCTATTTGATACTATAAAAAATGTTTGCAATTTACTGTGAAAAGAAAAAGATTATGGTTTTGTTTGTGTGCTCTGTCTGATTCTATAGATACATAAGGTATTTATGAAAATTTCTTTAATGAGTATTGCATTTGTAATAAAGAATAAAATATATGTAACAAAACAATTCAACACAAAAACTACTCAGGAAAAATGAGCGCCAAATTGAGATTTAATTTTTATAATATGCTATTCAATGCTAATTAATCCTTTACATTCTTGCTCTAGAAATCTCAAAGTAGAATTTGGCTGATGTCAGTTTTCCATTCAGAAACCTTCACCTAACACAGGCAAGTGAGACCCTTTATATGGTGTGTCCAACTAGTCTGCTCCATTCAAACTAACCATCGTTCCTCATATTCTCGTATTTGGATCTTTAACTTATCATCACCGATTCCTGAAACGTCTTATTCCGTTTCTCACTGTTTAAATTTCATTTTACTTCAATGACCAGACCAAACAGTTGTTCAATAAAATTTTCTAATTTCTGATATTCCCTCCTTCTGAAATGCTCATATCAATCTCCTTTTCTTCTCTACTTCTGAAAGGCCATTACATAGCTTCTATTATATTACTATAATACTGTCCTGTTGCTGATATAGCACATCACATTTTGACAAACACACACACACACACACACACACACACACACACACACACACACACACACACTTGACCCTCAAACAATGGTTAGATGGTTAGGGGGCACTGACCCATGTGCAGTGGAAAATCTGTGTATAACTTTCGACTCCCCCAAAACTTAACTACTAATAATATCCTACTGTTGACTGGAAACCTTACTGATAACATAAACAGTCAATTAACATTTATTTTGTATGTTATATGTATTATGTACTGTATTCTTATAGTAAAGTATGCTAGAGAAAAGAAAAAATCATAAGAGAAAATATACAGCACTGTACTGATACTGTAGTTTATGTAAGTTTGTCATCTGTTTATAAGATGAATCGTTTGTTCGTATCTATATCAATATTGTCTTATATGATACAAAACACCGTGGAAGTTACATGTATTACTAACACTAGTTATCAAAAATGAAAAGATAATGTGAAAAAGAAATTCATATTTACAGATATTAATGATTGCTTTATGGTAGCCTAGTGTATTGATATGAATGCTTCATGTTAGTTAAGAAGTCTCCAAAAATTTTTCCACTATATTTATTGGAAAAAAATCCATATAGAAGTTGACCTGTGCAGTTCGGACCTGTGTTGTTCAAGTGTCAACTGCATAAATAACTATAGCACCATCTCTAAGCCCTTAGTTAGGGGGTTAGGCCATCTCTATTATTTAAGAGTACGCATCTTTTAAATCAATGTTTCTCAAACTGTGGTCTTTGTATCAGCACCAACAGCACCATCCCAGACCTAGTGAAGCAAGAACTCTCGGGTGGGACCCAGTAATCTGTGTTCTAACAAGCTATCCAGGTGATTCTAGTATATGCTGAAGCTTGAGAACCATTGTTTTACAATAATAGAAACACCAATAATGGTACTCAGTTGAATCAACTGTATTCATATTCATTACATAGAATAAAAACATTGAGGTTATTTCAACACATGTCATCATATAGAAGAATCAGTCACTTGATTAGAAGGGACCGAGGAGACTGCTAACTCCATTTTTTTCAATATAGGAACCAACTTTCCAAGTGTTTTTTTTTTTTTTTTTAAAGTACAAAGTGACTAACAGGTGTTTGGACTATCTCAAAATTGCCATGCAGACTAAATCAAATAATATACATGAATACATTTTATAAAGTCTAGTAATATTACCTGGATTTTCGAAACGAGTTTCAAAAAAGGCCAGCTGTCATCATGCCGTACCAATTCTACAACAAGTTGTTCAAAAGCAGACAATTCATGAACTCCTCCCTGTCGGCCTGAACTCCTTCGATTCAGTGTCATAGGAGATGATTCTGAATAAATAATTAATTTTAGGTGATGATAAAGCAAAATATTTGATCTCTACAGACTAAATAGGGCATATAAATACAAACTAAATTCAAACAAAATTGACATTATACCAGTGAGATGTTAAACGAACATTCTGAAATATGAAAATCTGGACCCAATATTATTTCCTTTTTGATCTTAAAAATTTCCAATCGAATTAAACATTCATTGGGAATAGATTATAAAAAGAGTGTAACACAAAAGAAAATTCTAGAACACAAAGTTGGTGGGCTTTTTACTCCATTTTATTAAAATATTTTCAACTACAGTAAAATAAAAGTAAGCAATTCTCTAGTATTTCCTGAAACACATCCTTAGGAAAGTTCTCTTTTCAGATCTGGAAACTACGTCTCTTTATAAATTATCTTGCCTAATAGAAAATTCTCAATGATGAAGTAAAAGATTATTCTTATAAATCTTAATTTTAGATGGAGAATTTTCTGAAAGCAAAATGCTTTCTCATAAAATCTAAGGTGTATGAATTAGTAGAAAAGGGTAGTATAGTCCATATATGAATTCAGGTGTTTAAATTCTCTACTTAAATGTAAATCCACACATTTGCTCCTAACCAGGTTAGTCATTTCACAAATTTAGTTAACAACAACAATATTTTTTTAGCAGAGTGTTTTTGGATAAAAATGTTTCAGGTGTACTGTTTTTCCAACCAGCTCCGAAGTATCTCAACATTCAATCTTTGCACCAAATTATTCAATTTCCTTAGGTAAGAATAGTTTAAATTAGACTGCTTCATACCTGTAGATTGTCTTTTCCTGCCTCTTCTCTTGGATTCACTATCTTGGAGAGAAAGTTTTGACGCAACATTTGGAGATCTTGACTGCTCACTTGACTTTGTGGCAATGACTCTGTAGTTAGGGAGGTTGGGACTATTTTCTGGTGTATTATTAGCACTTTTCCTGCCTCTGCCTTTTCTACGAGGACTAAGTAGTTCCACAAACACATCTGCTTGCAGTGGGCCAGGACTCTGGCGAGTAGAGCGACTGGCAATTCTTAAAGATTTTGTTTCTGTAGGAGGAGCAGATTTTATCTTTCTTAGGCTTCTACCAGTAGTTCTTGAAGAGACAGTTGTTTTGGGTGTACTCTGCTGACTCCTTGAAGTATATCTTCCAGAGTCTTGTCGTTGGCCACGACTTGAGAAAGAAGAGTTGAGTCTTGCTCTTGTTTTAATTGATAATCTAACTTGTGGTCTTCCTCGTTTTGGTGGGCTATAAATATTGTTAGAAAACACAATTATTGTCCAGAGCAATGATGAATACATGATTACTTCTACTCCCCTTGTTCTCATATTCAGCCAATGAGTTCTACATATATTATTATTCTATATTACTGAGACATACTCTATACTCAATTCTTGAAACTTACAGCTAACAAATTTTTCATGGAAATCTAAAATGTGCTTTCATATATTTTGTTGTAATGCAAAGAGAATATTTATTATCTTTTTGGTAGCTCCAGGACATCATCATGAAAATCAAATCCTAAATTGTGATAAACCACAAAATCTACAAAACCAATAAAGAGACTTAACCATGTTGAAAACTTAAAAGAATGATGAATTAATATTAAAATGCAAATCTTCTGTCTCCTTATGCTACAAGAGACTGTCACTTTTCATTATCACTGATACCGAGGTAACCTTCAGTTTCAGCCAGTGGCTGCCTTAAACCTGTGGTTCCTGAATACCAAGCCAAGACTCTCTCTGCCATCTTCTGATTCTTACTATAAAATACAAAACTAGACTCAATCTTTTAATTGCCTTTAAGTTGTAGACAAGGATGAAACAACCTCACTAAGCCTCCTTTTATCCATCTCCCCACATAACTGAACTTCCAGTTTACCTAAAATATTTCCAAGAATTTTCCAAGTTCTTTATCATCTTTATGCTTAACACAATAGTGCCCTTATAAGCTACAGGGAATATGGCTCCTGCTAGTTAGAGATATTAAAAAACAACCTATTCAAAATTGATGGGGTGGCTCTCTCTACTTCCCCTCTTCAGACTGTGGCCTTTTTGTACTTTGTCAGTTCTACATTGCCCTTGCTTCACATTCACTTCCCTGATTCCACATGAATAGGGTTCAAATGTTAAAAAGAGGGGGAGGTCTTAGGGACAAATATGGGGAGATTGCCCCAGCACTGCTACAGCAGGAATAACCAGGCCCTAATCCCACTGGTTAGGCCTGGGTGACATAGCTTAGTAAGTTGCAGAATACTTGATTTTATGGTAGTATAGAAGTTGTTTCTAAGTGCTGATGTGGTAGGAGTATAAAAATATAATGTGCTTCCTGACATACATGTATGTATGTACGTGTGTGTGTGTGTATATATATAATATATATATATATATATATATTTTTTTTTTTTTTTTCTCTGTAGACTGCCAAGATCACCAAAATTTGGGTATAACTCCTTTAGAAAGTAAGAGAGGCATTGGGAAGTTGCATCCATGTTTATCTCATGAATACCCTCTGGGCTGTTTATTTGCTTCTTTAGGCATAAAATTAAGTAAAATCAACCTTGCTGTGGGTTTGAACTGGCATTCCTGTCCAAAGTTGAACTCACACTTGATTTTATGATCTGGAAAACTTGAAATGTTTATAATACATAGAGCAAGAATAACTTCAGGCTGCTATGTTATATACTACTTTGAAAAACTTATGGACTCCAACCACTCCATTTGTGTTTGAATTGTTAAGAGATTGTCTAGTTAAGACTCACAAACTCTCATTTATTATGTTAGGACTTACATGACTTCTTCTTCTTCTTGAGAGTCATCTTCATCTTGTTCTATCTCATACTCTTCCTCCTCACTTTGACCCTCTTCATCATCATCATCAACTTCATCATCCTCACTTTCCATACTGTCTTCCATCTCTTCATCACTTTCCAAGGATGGTCTCTGTCTAGAGGAGAGTCTTCTAGAACGCTGCTTTGGCCGACACTCTGGACAAAACCAATCTCCTTCAGGCACAGTCTGACAAATCATATAAATGATTATTAATCATCGTTCACTTAAAATCTCAATGTCTCAATTCTAATCTGAGAAGTAGAAAAAGAAAAAAGTACCTTGAGCTTTGGTCGAACACAGTAGGTATGATGACCCCGATCACAGCAATCACAAAGTACCATGTTTTCAGCATCACCCTTCTTTCGGCAGATTTTACAACGAGCATTCAGTATAGATTTAGACCATATCACACTACGATCCAAGGTGGAGAGATGAAGAAAGACTTGGGATAGACTAGCAGAAGAAAGAAGAGACTCTCTCCAACGGTCCAGGACTGTTTTATAAGAACGCCCACTGTCGCTGGCATCTTAAATGAAAAGGGAAAGTGATTAAAGTTTCTAGGCAAACCCTAGACATCCCCTAGAACTATTTTCTTGGTAGATTAAGCAGTATAGATTTTACAGTTCTTCTCTTATAATACTTAACAAAAAGACCATGCTGATATTAAAAGCAAAAAGCTCATGTTAAAGAAAATATTTGCTGAGCCACAGCTTGTTTATGACATAAGGAATTACTTACATCTGTAAATCAAATGCTTGGGGATTTCAATAGTTAAAAGAGAAAAAAATAACTTAGGCAATGTGTTCTCAATCTAATCTTTGTATCAAATCTTGATCTAATTTAGAAAACTGGCTAAATATGGTTACACGTCAGCTACTATTCATTTGAGTCGAGAATGTTACTTCCTCATTTTCAGATGAAAGACTGCTCTCTCAGTAAAATATCAATCATATATGAGGTTTCTTTTGGGGCTGATTAAATTGTTCTGAAGTTAGTAATGGATAGCTGTACAACTGTGAATATACTAAAAACCACTGAACTGTACACTTTAAAAGGGTGAATTTTATATATGTAAATTATACCTCAATATAGCTGTTTTTAAAAAATATCAATTATGTATAATGTCCACTATAGTGTCTTCTATCTCTAAGAAAGTATTATTTTTAAAATTGCGGTAAATAAAAGACCCCATACCTAGTTTGGTCCTATCATGCCATCTTTCCTATTATTATCCTCAAATAAAACCTCTTGGGCAGTAGCATAATGTTCAAGAGAATGTGGGCTGCAGAGTCAGTCTGCCTTGATTTGAGGTGAGTACTAGCTCCCTATGTGAGCTTGGGTGAGTTACCTAAGCCCCCTATGCCTTAGGTTCTTCAACAGTAACGTGGGTAGTATCTACTTCTGAGGGCTGTTGGGAAGATTAAATGAGATAATACACATAAGACAGGCAAACTGAATGTCACAGAGTAAATGCTATTATTGTTATCATTATTCTTGCATTATACTGTTCCTCCAATATGCAGCACTTTAGAAGATATGACACAAGTCCCTACCTTAAAATTTTTTTTTAATATAGCCAGGAGGGTGAAGATACACACAGTAAGCTGAAGTCATAAAGCAACACATCTGCTAAACACTGGTGGGTCTTGAGCTCCCGTTTGACTACTGGGCAGGGTAAGAGAGATAGGACGTGAAACATAGGGCCTGCCCAATATAGTGAGTCCCCTCTAAAGAGCTAGGACACCAAAAGGCTACACTTTCAAGGTGGAAAGGGTACCATGAAGAAATAAAGAGGTAGCAAGGAAATCTGCTCACCTAGACTTTGGTGTTGGGTAGAATAGGGAAATAAAGATACTGTAAGAATATGTAACTATAAGCAAAGTCATTAACAGATTTAAAATCTGAAAAGCCACAAGCTAAGATTTTAAAGTGGTCCAGGGTTGGTAGTGACCTCAGGTAAATGGCAGACTTAAGTACAAATCATTCCAAATTCTCCCTGAAGAAATATCCATAGGCCAAGTTCTGAGGAATAAGCTGATAGTCAAACCCAACAAGGCACATGTGGAAACAAAACACTATAAGCAAGAGCCAGCAGAATCTGACCCATAAAGACTTGAGGTATTAGAATTAGACACAGAATATAAAATAACTATGTTTAATATGTTTTAAGAAATAAATGTTTGAAAACATGAGTAAATAAGAAGTTTGAAAAAGCATTTGAATTTCTGAAAATAATACAGGTTAATTACTCAATGGGAGAGAGAAAAAAATGGATAGGTCAAATGGCTCCTCGGACAAAGCTAAAGAGAAATATGAGCAAAGTGGGAAATAAATGCAATAATACAGTCCATTTGATTTATGTCTACCCTTCTCATTTAGTGCTTTCTATTTATCTTGGTTTTTGATAAAAGGTTTCACGAAAAGTTCTGGCCTGAGTGGGGACCTCCAAGGAAGGAGAGAGTAAGAGCAGCTAGTTCAAAGATCTTGAAGAAATCTTTCTGGATAAATCAGAGGGCATTCTTACTGGCAATGGCAAGAAAAAACATTGCAGAGCCCAATGTGGAAGAGGGGAAGAAAAAGATAAATTATGGAGAACCTTTGGAACCTCGAAGGTCAGTTTGAATGATTTTTAACTCAAAGGTTGGTGAAACACTATGGATTTTGATCAAAGAGGTGCTTTAAGAAATTAAACGGTGGTAGCTCAAGGTTCAAGTTTTATCCCATCTACTACCCATTTTAAAATATTCTAAATATAAAATATAAATTGATGTCCACATTTTTCTATTTTCATATAGTATTTAAATAAGGATAAAAAACAGTATACACAATTGAGTCCATTTTTTTTAAACCTTGCTTCTTCAGATTATACAACTTTCACAGGCAGAAATGTCTCGTTTCTCTTTTATTTTCCATTATCTGCTAGCACAGAGAAATTCCTCAAGAAATTACTAAATGAAAGCATTTTACTATTGGTAGAGTCATATGATCAAATGTTACATTGGGAGATTTCATACTGTTAACTGTCAGTGTACAGTAACCCATGTGACCATGCCATGTAGGCTTCTCTAGGAGCTAAAACAATAAAAATGCCTACCCTGTAATTCTCCCTATGCTAGTAAAAGAAAAAAAAATACTATGAATAAGACTATATGCAAAATAAGTAAACATGCATTCCATAGCTGTTTATTCTTTTCACTAATATCTATGTATACTAAAATTCACCAATGTTAACTTTTTACATACCGATTTAAAAGAGTGTGATTAGCTGAGGTGTGAAATTTAAAAAGGAAAATGTTAGGAAGATGATATTGTTTTATAAGCTTGCCCAAAAAACTATTCCCTTCCAAAATATCAAATCCAAGGCTTTCCTTCAAAAGCTAAATATGTAAACCAGTACTCAGCAATCTAGAAATTAAAATTATAATTCTTTAAAGACAGGTCTTTAAAAAGTTAAGAATTTACCATCGCTCACACTAAATTGATCTTCCTTTCTCTTTCTCTTGTTCTTTTTTTTTCTAAGATTTTATTGGGGAATTGGTGGAGGGGAACAGCACTAGGGAATTGGGGAAGGGGAACGGACAAGTTGCTGTCCTTTTGTTCTTTAGTCTAGTTGTGGAGGATGTCGCTTCACTGGCCTATGTTGGTATTGTGATCATTTCGCTCTTCCCGGCTGAGGCAGTCGGTTGCCAGCTGGTGGACGGCCGCTCATGGCGGCTCATGGAAGCTCTTGTGGCTGCCGGCCGCTCATGCTGGCTGCCAGTCACTCACGGTAGCTCATGGCAGCCCACTGCAGCCCCACTGCAGCCCACACCATCGCTGGCGACTCACAACAGCCCAGCTCCAGGTCGAGCTGTTGTTCACCATCTTAGCTGTAGAGGGTGCAGCGTCACTGGCCCTCATGTGGGATCCGAACCAGCGGCCCTGCTGCTCAAAGCTGGCGTCCCAAGCCAACTCTTAACCAACTGAGCCACTTGGTGGCCCTCTAGCTCTCTTTTGATCTTTATTAATTTCTGTGTTACCTAATTTCAAATTGATAAAGTTAGTTTGAGGATTTTTTCATAGTTTAAAGATTTAACCATAAGCATGACTTTATAAATGATGAAATTATCAACCTAAGCAATTTTCACATCTTACCTAAAATAATTAATTGAAATATGATTATCTTTCTCAAGTTAAAAAAAATCCTAGTTTTATCAATGTGATTAATCATTAGAATAAAAAGAACATACTAGGGAAGGTAGAACATAGAATTTTTTCTTACTTGCTTCCTCAAGAAACTGAAGTAATCTGAATCTAAACTGGAAAAATTCTTACTATAGGTTAATTAGCTATGTTGAAAAATTATCAAGAATGATAAATTTTTATATTCTACTCAAACATTCATAAAGTTGGAACCCTCTTTTCTCTCCCTGGTTAAGGATATTCTTGATTACCTTGTTCCAAATATTTAGACTCTTTAGAAATCCCAGAGGCACCTCCATCTCCTGCTATCCCGTTCAAAACAGACCCTTTAAAGACTTAAACATAAAATGAAGAGCTACTGACATCAGTTACAGTATTAACTTTTTATGGGGCAGCAATGGTAGATGGTAACACCCATATTATAAATGATCAACAACTGACTTTGACCAATATATACTACCAAAGTAAGTTAGCCCTTTCCTATTTTACTTATTTTTTAAGAATCCAAATTAAAATAGTTTTAAAAAATATCTTTCAGGATGAAATGCATGTTCTAACTAACACTGCTCTATATAATAGTGCTGTTTAATGCATAAGAACCCTACAGCGCTCAGCTCTCATACAACCTACTAGATATAAGTTGCAACATCTCCCAGTGTTAAGTTTTTTCTGTTGTCTAAATGATAAGATGTATTGATGAAAATATAGATACGCTAAACAATTAATTTGATTTTTTCCCTTTTTAACTTATAAACAACTTTAATTGACGGTAATTTCAGAAGTGAAACAATGAACTGTTTTATCCCTTACCCTTTTTGAAATCACAGGATTAATGTGTACTAGTAATATCTTACATTTATAAGAGCTATTATGATTTACACATAACTTTTAATTGAAATTTTAATTGAAATAATTGCAGATTCAACATGTGGTTGTAAGAAATAACACAGAGAGATGCCTTGTACATGTAACCTGATTTAGACACAGGAAATACTGAGAAATATTGAAGACTGGGAAATAAGAGTTATATAGTAAATACAAACTCTGATATCTTTGTGAGCTGCTATCATGTGTATTTTATTTCTTACAAATGCTACTTTCAATGTGAAAAGTGAGTTATCAAGCTCATGGTGGAATTATCAATTTATAAAAACATATGAATAGTCTTATTAGAACAATGAGATACAGGCCAGAAGCTCTTCAATTAAAAATAGACACATTACAAATATATTCACATTCCAAAATTGCTCTGATAGCACCATCTATTTATAAAATTTTGTTCTTACTACTCAACAGGTAATATTCAAATAATTTTTTAAGGATTTTAGTCTATTCAAGTTGCTTTCTAAATATGAGACCAAAAAGATATGGTTTTAAAAAATTGTTTTTCTAAAAGTAAACAGAAATAGTCTCAGAGATATAGAGGAACAACTGAAGGTTGCTAGTTGGGAGGGGGGTGGGGATGAGGGTGAAAGGGAAGGGATTAGACAGCATAAATAGGTAACTACAATATTGTCACAGGGATATGAAAGACAGTTTGAGAAATGTAATTAATAATGTAAATATTTTTTTTTATTATGTTTCAGGTGTACAGAACAATGCAATAGTTATCCTTTTCACCCCTCACAAAGTAACAACTCCCCTTCCCCCATCCACTGCCCTCCCACCACTGATATCATACTTATCTATTACAATTCCATTGACTCCATTCCCACACTCAACTCCACATCCTGTGACTATATGTATATGTAATTATAGTTGACATACCATATTATTCAACATCAGCTTCAGAAATACAGTGTGGTGGTCAGGCCTCTATACTGTCTATGAAGTGGTCTCCCTAACCAGACATGAGTCCATCTGGCCCCGTAAAAAATATTTAATGGTGTAAATATTTTATAGGGTGTCAGGTGGTCACATGTCTTGTTAGGGAGACCACATTATGGATGGGGTAGAGGCTTGATCACTGCACTGTACACCTGAAGCTGATGTTGTATAATATTGTATGTCAACTATAAGGGAATATATATATATACATGGGATGTGAAGTACAGTGTGGGAGTAGAGTCAAAGGAATTGTAATAGATATGTATGATTTTGGGGGGGAAGTAGGGTGGTGGATTGGGGGAGAGGGGTTGTCACTTTGATGGGTAAAAAGTGTAACTATTGCATTATGTTGTACAGCTGAAACTAATTTAAAAAAATGTGTATTTCAGAATAAAAAATTGTTTTTCTAGTACCCTATTATTGAGATATAAATTATTTTGATATGATGAATTATAAATTCAACATTTGAGAAAGACCACAGGAAGCAGAGGTAGTTATGACATTAAAATTGATTCAGAACTTGAAACACATATTTTCCTAAAGACATAATGATTATGTTCCTTGATTAGTCCCTACAAGCATATTAATTTCATAAGTTGCTGAAACATGATCCAGATAGTATTATTTCTATCATTCTAACCATAAATGATAGAGCATTTCCTCATCTTTGTAGCCTTTAACACTTGGTATTTCTGATTCAGCACTCATACAGTGATCAGTTAGTGACCCACATTATCAAACCATACCCCTAATGGCGGACATTTATGTAGCTCTTTGGGGTTCTGTTTTAAATAACAACAAAAAAAATTTATGTACAATCTTTGATTATTCAGGGTCTGGCTAGTCACAGGTTTTGGGAATCTTTCTTTTGATGAAGGTTTCACAAAAGAAGAGACTGAAAGAAATAGTTAAAAAGACAGCTATTAAAATGACTGGATATCTAAAATAAAATTTTAAAACAGTATTTAAGTATTATTTAAAAAATAAATCTCACCTGAAAGAACTCATATATTAAAATGAAAATACAATCTTAAGTTTTTCAAATCAATCAACTTCATTATGTCAGCCAATAAAGCTCTATTTCAAAATCATCTAAAACATAACTAATATTTTGAATTAAAAACAGATACTTACCAAGTGGAGCTTTGAGAAAACGCCGCTCAATGCCCTGCTCTATTTGAAAAAGTGCCATTGCCAGATAATGAACCACATTGCTCACTGATTGCGGTGTACTTGCATTAGTTGAGACAGTACTTGGAGTTTCTGTTTTTATGCCCAAAAGTCTACAATTAAAACAACGAAAGAATTTGGGTACTTAAAAACACTACTAGGTGAAACTTGAGTCCACTCATTCATCCAAATGCTTACTTATACCTGTATAAGAAATAGTTTCCTCAAATACAAGGAGCTCTCATAAGATAGTAGGAAAGGCAGATAAATACATGACAAAAGCTAAACTGAATATCGAGTTATTTAAGGAGGTTAGAAGAGCAAATATTTGGAGGTGGGAAGGTGGATGAGACAAGGCATAGAAAAAAGGTTTTAGTGAGGTGACAATGATGGGCCTCAAAGGATAAATATCTCAGGCAGCTTATGTCTGTTGCTCTTGCTTCTACTTTTACTGGGTAGGACACTTATAGCTGCCTTCTAACTAGTTCCTTAGTCTCCAATCTTACTACCATGGCAATAAATCTCCATGCAGCAGCTGAAATGGCAATTTAAAAGTACAAACCCATTCACTCAAAGCCTTTGGTACGCTTCCCTCCCAGTATCATGTCTTTCCCACATTTAGGTCTCAGGTTCGGAGTCACTTCCTCTAGCATTTCCTTTGCTGTCTTCCATGTTCTACCATGACATAGTATGTACTACACTTGCACTGGGTATTTACTTCTACCAGAAATCTCACCGTGTTCTATAATTGCTAGCTTAATGTCTCTCCACCATTTCCTTCTAGACAATAAACTCCTTAAGGGCAGATATTATCCAGAATAACTCCAAAAAGGTAAAAACATTGTGGCCGGCCGAGCGGCGCAATGGTTACGAACTGGCTTGGGACGCCAGAGGGCCCTGGTTTGGATCCCACATATGAGGGCCAGTGACACTGCCCTCTACAGCTAAGATGCTGAACAACAGCTCAACCTGGAGCTGGGCTGCCGGGAGTCGACGGCGACGATGCAGGCTGTAACCCCTGCGGCAGTGGGTTGCCATGGGCTACCGTATATAGCCAGCAGCCAGCGGTGAGCGGCCAGCAGCCGCAGTGAGCGGCCGTCCAGAAGCCGGCGACTGATCTGTCTCATCTGGGAAGAGCGCAATGATGGTGCCAACTTGGGCCAGTGAAGCAATGTCCTCCACAACTAGACTGAAGAACAAAAACGACAGCAACTTCTCTGTTCCTATCCCCTCAATTCCCCAATTAAAAAAAAAAAGGTAAAAACATTATCTATAGATATAGATATAGGTTCTGATTATTAGTTCAAATAATGTTTAAGTCTACCACAATTTATTAAGTTTTCCTACAGAAAAGTAAAATAAATAGTATAAAGTTACTTTCTGAAATTAATAAAACCTTAAGTTTTCAAAGGCTTTTTTTTAAAACTTGAGAAATTACCATTATCCTAACAAGTTGCCTTTGGCTTCATTAGTACAAAATGGACTAACAAAGAGCCTGAGGTTTAGCAAAAATATCATCTCAGTGGCTATAAGTATTAAAGTCCTCATGATAAGATTTTAAAACAATTTTTTGAAGAAAAGAAACATTTACATCAGAAAAATTTATAATTAGAGTGGCAGGGGAAAGTGATGGTTCCTTAAAAAAACCCATTTTATACCTGTCTTTTATTATGACCTTTGCTTGCTCATCAATTTCCACCTCTTCCATATTTTCATTCACAGTTTTAATTATCCCATTTTCCTTGTTTTCTTCACTTAAAAGTTCATATCGTCCATTTTCTAATGCTGATCTCCAGATGTGTCGATCTGCAACCTGTAACAAAACCCAAATTTAGTAACCCTGAAAAATGGCATATGTTGTTCCTAAGAAGTATGAGGTTTAATGTACGTATGAAAAATTCATGAATATTCTAGAACAGATTGTGAATCAAAAAGGGATCTAAAAATAAGATTGCTAAGTGGTCAAAACGGAATCATATCATTCATAGATGGAATAGTACCGTATTCTCTATGTAGGGAAGTTATATACAATTCTAAGATTGGTCACTTGATAGTAGCAAAAAAAGTGACAGATGATAGCAAAGGAATGAACAGAACACATATATCAAGCATGAATTACTTACAGATTTTAAAAAGGTAACAAAGAAACCAATAAACAAACCAGGCTCAGCAGAGCAGGCAGGAGCTAGTCAAGGAAGAAGAAAATATCCTTACACATTTCAATATCTCGGAGGAAAATACCATAAAACAGATATTTAAAAAAATACTAGAAATTAATATTATAAAGGTCAATTACGTTCATTAAATTCTGTTTAGGAAAACAGTCATATAGTATATTTAAGAAAGATTTATTTCCATAGGTAAACATTTTGATGGGAATAAAACAGTTTTTATAAAAAATATCATTCCCTGGTATTTATTCAAAACACACATGCCTTGCCTATATCTAATAAATGAACAAATATGACCCAAATTCTGGTAATTAGGTAAACTAAAAATGGGAACAGGTACAAACCTTGATTGCGCCTAATGTTCCTTGGTAGATTCTGTCTTCAATATCCAAAAGAAAATCTCTCAGCCTCAATTCAAGCTGCCTTTCTGCAGACATCTGAGATGTGTCATATGCATTGGAAGATCTTCCCCGACTATATGTAGGTTTGCTATCAGTTTGAAGTTTGTCTGAAATAGTTATCCAATACCTTTATTATTTCCTTATTAAAAAAATACAATTACCCAATGTGACTGTAATGATTGTGAGATAATGGATATAAAAACACTTAGGTAATTCTCAAGTGCAATTAAAAAGGGGGGGTGAGGTGAAAATGTTTGCACATCATATATCTGATAAGAGACTTGTATCTAGAATATATAAAGAACTCTTACAACTCAATAAAAAGACAAATACTCCAATCTAAAAAACGGGCAAATGATCTGAATAGACTTTTTTTTTTAAAGTTGCAGAAAAGGAGTTTATTAGAAGTAAAAATATATTTCAAAGAAGCAGAAGTGGGAGAAAAAGTGAGAATGGCTCAAAGGCCATTATTAGAAAAGAATGTACACTCCAAAGAGTTTGGAGCGGGCTGAGCAAAGGAAGCTCAAAAGGCCCAAGGGGCCCCAGGGCCAGGGCCAGGGCCTGGGAGTCATTATTAGGAGAGAAAGTACATTCCAAAGAGTTTGGAGTGGCCCTGAGCAGAGGCAAGGCTGAAAATGCTTAAAAGGCGTTGACTGGCCAGGACTTGGGAATTTTTATCCCCTCACCTCTAGAATGGGCTGTTTCTCTTTGGGTGTAGGACCACATGACTGATCTCATCTCTTTAGAAAAGGAGTTTATTAGAAGAAAAGGGAAGTTTTGGATGGAGAGGAGAGGTCTTTAGGGCAGTGCATTCTGTGTGAAAAGACCTTTCTTTAAGGAAGACATACAAATGGCAGAGATGACCATGAAAAAAATGCTCAACATTAGTCATTCAGGAAATGAATGTCAAAACCACAATGAGATACCACTTCACACCTCTAGGATGGCTAGAATCAAAAAGTCAGATAACAAGTGTTGGCAAGGACATGGAGAAATCTTAACTTTCATATACTGTTGGCAGGAATATAAAATGGTATAGCCACTTCAGGAAACAGTCTGTCAGTTCCTCTAATTTAAACAGAATTACTATATGAGCCAGTAATTTCACTCTTAGGTATATACTCAAGAGAAATGAACATATGTCAACACAAAAACTTGTATGCAAATATTTATAGCAGCATTATTCTTAATAGCCAAAAGGCGGAAATGAAATGTCCATCAACTAACATGTAGATAAATAAAATGTGGTATACAATGGAACATTATTTGGCCACAAAAAGGAATGAAGCACTGATACATACAACTTAGATGAATCTTGGAAACATATGCTAAGTGAAAGAAGTCAGTCACAAAAGACCATATATTATATGATAGCCTTCATATAAAATGTTCAAACGTACACAGAAAATAGATTTGTGGTTGCTTAGGTCTATGGGGGGTGGCAGCAAAAGGGTATGGTGTTTTTTTATGAGGTGATGGAAATGTTCTAAAATTGACTGTGATGGTTGCACATATCTGTGAATATACTAAAACCACTGAATTGTACATTTTTAATGGGTGAATTGTACGGCGTATTAATTAAATCTCAATAAAGCTGCTACAAAAAGAATTGTGATCCACAGTTTTTAATCCTGAAGAGAAGTAAAGTAATCATGGCAATGTGCCTCTACATTTAAGTTCTTTACCTAGAGAACCTCAGTAATATAAAAACTTACACCTAAAAACACCTTATTGCTTTCTCTTGTCTGTCATCAATGGAGCAGCCATCAAATAGGAAATGTTGCTTCCTGATCTGCCCTTGCAGCCAATCTCCAAAGAAGTGATCACTAATGAAACCTGCCCCCGACTCTCAACCAAAACACTTAGTGAGTGCCCCTCCTCACTGTTAGATCTCTAAAACTGATGGTAACCTTAGTGCCTTGGGTGTTCAGGGTCTACTGATAAAGGAATGAGATCAGGAAGACTATGTATCTTCTCACACAGCTAGATGTGTTCCTCATAATACAAATGGAACTCAGTGGTATTTAGAGAACCTTCTTTCTCTAAGTGGCAAACTTTCTCTTTCAAACTGAGAACATGGTCCAAATGAAAGATAAGATGTTTTAAATATAGTTCTAATAGTTTGAAAAATGTTTAACCTGAACCAGAGCTTATGGGGAGAGAAAAATAAAGACAAGAGTTTTCATTGAAAATTTACCTGAAAAATGAAATTTCTCTTCAGAAAATTGGGCTAGCTGTGCACATATTCTGCTTTTCTCTTGCAACAAAGTTTCTTTTAAGGCACTTTCTCTATGTCCTCTAGAATTAAGAGCTTCGATAAGCTGGTCTAGCTGTTCACAAGAGCTGTAAAAGCACCACCGATTTGGCTTATGCACTGGTTTTGGCAGCTGCACAGAATCATCACATGGACCTTGGTCAATGTTGGAGGTAGATTCAGACATCAAAGACTCCCCAATTTTCATAGATATCTGAGGATTTTGAGACTGTACATTATTCTGAAATGATGAAGGTCTAGGCAACAGCATGTCTTCAGTGAGACCAGAATAATCCTCTTCAATAAACAATCCAGGAATAGAAGGGAAAATCCAGTATCGCCTATACATGCGGTCACGGCCCAAGGGAAAGATATTGGTACATGCTATGGCACTTTGGATTTTTTCTAAGAGTTCTTTCTCTTTTCGTTGGTGTTCCTGTTTGAAAGCTTCTTCCTCATCAGCAGTGAAAGACTCTCTTGTTACACAGTTGATCTCTTCTTGCCTTGTAAATTCTTTAAATCCATTTTGTCTCCTTTTTCCTATAGTCGAAACAACATTTGATCATCATCATATTTTAAATTTTCACTGGAAAATAAAAGGCTACCCCAAGTTGTTATGTGTCACAGACTGAAATGTCTGCTCCCAAATTTACAGGCGGAAATCCTAAACCCCAATATGACTGTATTTGGAGACAGGTCCTTTAAAGAGGTAATTAAAGTTAAATGAGGTCATAAGAGTGGGGGACCCTAATCTAAGAGACCTGGTGTCCTTATAAGAAGAGGAAGAGGGACCGGAGAGCGTGCTCTCTCCACTTGTGGGTATAGAGGAAAGGTTGTGCAAAGACGGAGAGAAAGTGCTATCCTGCAAGCTGAGGAGAGAGGTCTCACCAGAAATCAACCCTGCTGGCACCTTGATCTTGGACTTCCAGCCTCCAGAACTGTGAGAAAATAAATTTCTGTTGTTTAAGCCACCTAGTCTGTGGTATTTTGTTATGGCAGCACAACAGAGTAATACACTATGTTAATAAGAAACTGGTACACTTAAATACAAAGGGACACATAAAAATCTGTGATCTCCATCCTGGAGACTGTGGCAGAGTCTGTTATTCTACAAAACATATTCAGTCCTTCCTCTAAGGCATGAGTTGGCAAACTACTTCTATAAAGGGCTAGCTAGTAAATACATATTTTAAGCTTTGTGGGTCATATGCTTTCTGTCACAGCTACTCAATTCTGCCATTGTAGCATGAAAGCAGCCATAGGTATTATGTAAATGAATAAGCATGGCTATGTTCAATAAAACTTTATTTATGACCATTAAAATTTGAATTTTATATAATTTTCACATGTCACAAACATTCTTTTAAAATTTTTTCAACTATTTAAAACTGTAGAAACAATTTTTAGCCTATGCGTTATATAAAAACAGGGGGCAGGGCAGATTTGGCCAATGGGCTGTAGTTTACTAACCACTGATTTAAGATAAGAGAACCCTAACTTTTAGTTGGGCACATGGAAATCCAAAGGTAGGACAATATTTCCAAGACCCTCTTTCCCCAGTAGGCACTGCTCCACAAGAAACTTCTAGTCAAAGAGATGGGAGCAGAAGCATTACATGTAACCTCAGAGTTGTGCCTTTCTTTCTTCTTACCCTCTTCTAACTAGCTAGAATGGATGATAAATCATTTTGGAACATGAGGATGGGAGCAAAACCCTAAGGATGGCAGCACCAACAAGATAGAAAGAGCCTGGATTTCTGGTGACCTGCCTGGCTTTTTATGATGTGTTGAAGAATTAAACTTCTCCTTTTATTTCAGTCCCTATTCAAATTGCTTCAATAAGGTTAGGAAGTGTTGTTTCTTCTACCTTTTTTTGCTTAAAAGAGTTTGTAATAAGATTGGAATTATCTGTTTCTTTAAAATTGGCAGAATTAATCTATAAAGTTTTCCAGACTGATGTTTTCTTTGTAGGAAGATTTTTAATACTAATTCAAGATCTTTGTTGGTTTAGAATTATTCACATTTAAAATTTTTTTCATGAATCCATTTTTATAATTTATATTTTTCCAGGATTTTGCCTCTATTTTAAAATTTATTGTCATAAAATTGTATACATTGTCCCTTTATTTTTAAACTTCTACTCTTTCTGTAGTGATGTTACTTTCCTTTTCAGTTTCAATTTTGTTTATTGTGAATGCCCGCCCCCGAATCAATTTCAACAAAGGTTTGTCTAGTTTGTGTCTTTTTCAAAGAACGAACTTTTGGCTTTGTTGTTCTTCTCTATTATGGTTTTATTTTCTACTAATTTCTACTCATATCTATTGTTTCCTTGTATTTAGGGAGGATTATTCTATTTTCCACCTCTAACTTCTTAAATAAATGCCTAGCTCAAATTGCCTTTCTTCGTTCCCAATATGTAAAAGCTATACATTTTCCTCTAAGTAGAGGGACTGTATATCCAACAAGTGTTAAGATGCAGTATTGATTAGTTTTAAATATTTCCTAGTTTCCGTATGGTTTCACTTTTGATCCACTGCTTGGAAGTATGTTTTAAAACTCTAATCATATGAGGTTTATCTTAGACTTCTAAGTTAACTGCATTGTAATCAGAGAAAATAGCCTCTATGACATAGGTGATTTTCTGCCTATTTATAATAACTATTTAGAAAATAATGTACAAAAAAAATACCATGCAAATTATAGGCACAGAATAAGGATCTCCTTCATTAGTTATCAAATGAAGATGGTTAAAGATCCTCACAAGTAATTTGTATCAACAGTTTTCCAAACTTGTATTCCCTTTGATCCAGAAATTATTTTAAGGCAGTAGAGATTTCCATTCTCAGCAATATGACACCAATTACAAGCATTTACTGGTCTATTTAAGAGACATTCAATGAATGTTGAATGAGTACATTATAAAATAAAAACTTCTATTTGGCCTAGTATAATGTAGTAAATATAAAAATTCAACAAAACTTGCTAACCAAAAGTAGAAGTTACAAGAAACTGACCTATTAAGGAAATAGGAATATTGTCTCTTTTCCCTAAAGTATAAATGACATGTGACTGAAGACCTAATCATAAATATACTAATGTAGCTTCATAACACCATTTTATAACAAAATGGTCACCATTTAAAAAACTTATCACAGCTATGAGTTGGGCATTTAAAAAACAAAACACCTTGGAATCACAAATGCAAGTAATCTAATATATATTTCAGAATAAATGAATTAATAAACTGCCTTATCAATTAAAAATAAGCAAGCATGTCCGGAAGAAATTTCTGTATTACCCCTTCTGCCTCTTTTATGTGATCCTGGGTCATCTTCATCTTCGGTGACGGTATCTTGATCTAGCTCCTTTTGCTCTATTTCTTTGCTCTCAGTGCTGGTATCAAAATCTTCCCTTTCTTCCTCCCTTTAGGATAAAAAAAAAAAAAGATTATATTCATTAATGAATATATAATTCCATGCATGAAAAATTTATTGCCTGTGAAGTGTCAGGCATTATGCTTAGGAAATAGTGAATAAGATGACACAGCGTTTATAGTCTTGCAGAGAAAACAGATAATTACATAAATCATGGTAAAATTAAAAAATGTAATAAGTACTAAAAAAAGGAGAAGTTCAAGGTGCTACGGAAGCATTTCAAGAAGCTCTAGATCTAGTCTCAGGGATCAAGAAAGGCTTGTTTGAAGAAGTGACATTTAAACTGAGAGACTAGAGAGACTGGGAAGGGGTAAGGTAACAGAAGAAGAAATCTCCATTTTTAGCAGAGGTGATAATATATGCAAAGTCATGGAGCTGAAGGTAAAAGGAAGAGCTTTAATTTTCAGCAGAATGTAAAAGAAAAACAAGTAATCCAAGATATGGATGAGAAAAAGGCAGGGTTAGATCACAGTGGGCCTTGTAGGGCATTATTCAAAAAGCTATGGTAAAAAAGTAGAGTTTAGAAAAGGGACGCTATATGATTAGAAAGCACTTTGGCTGCTACGTGGAAAATGATCTGGTAGATTAGGGGAGACCAGTAAAGAGGCCACTATAATAGTGCAGGTAGCTGGCTGGGAGGTGATGGTGGCTCATAGTAGAAAGGAGATAAACAGACAAATAGTGAAGGAGAGAAGTAGACAAATTTCATATGTAGTTAACTAGGCAGAATAAACACAGTATGGATGTTTTACCTAATCCATTATATTGTCCAAATTAAAACTAAAATTGTATGAACCCTGAAAATAAATTCCACCATATGTTCTATACACAAAACGAGGTTTGCAACCTCCAATGTATTCCTTCAGGAGCCAGAAAGGTACTGTAATGAGTAAGGCTAGATGAGTATAAAAAATACAAAGTAGTGGGATCTATAATATGCTTAGTTTCTTTAAAAAACAAAACAAAACTGAGATATCACAAGGAAAAAAATTTGTGACTTTGTGAGGTGATGAATATTAACTAAATTTACTGTGGTAATCATGTCGAAATATGTGCATATATCAAATCATTTAGTTGTACACCTTAAACTAATACAATATTATCTGTCAATTATATCTCAATATAACTGGAAAAAGTTTATAAAATGTAAAAAAAAATTGATATAATTCACCTACTGTAAAAATCACCATTTTAAAGTGCACAATTCAGTGTTTTTTAGTATATTCACAGAATTGTGTGATCTTTATCCCTATTTAATTCCAGAACATTTTCATCATACCAAAAGGAAAACACCTTAGTAGTCACTTTCCATTTTCTCTTCCCCATTGCTCCTGGTTACCAATCACCTACACTTTCTGCTATGGATTTGCTTCTTCTGGACTTTTCATATAAATAGAATCATACAATACATGACTTTTTGGGACTAGCTTCTTTCATGTAGCACCACGTTTTCAAAGTTCATCCACATTGTAGCATGTAACAGAATTCCACTCCTTTTTATTGCTGAACACCATTCTGCCGTATGGATATACCACAAAAGGGATATATCGTTTTGTTTATCCATCCATCAACTGACAGACATTGGGTTGTTACCATTTTTTGGCTATTAAGAATAATGTGGTTATGAACTTTTATGTAAACATTTTTGGGCGAACATTATGTTCTTAATTCTTTTCGAATGAAATTGCTGGGTCATATGGTAATAGATGGTTTAATTGTTTAAGGAACTGCCAAACTTATCTAAACCGGCTGTACCATTTTATATACCCACCATCAATATATGAAAGTTCCAACTGTTTCAACATTCTCACCAGCACTTGTTATTGTCTCTCAATTGGATTATAAACATCCTAGTGTGAAGTAGTATCTCATTGTGATTTTGATGTGCATTTCCCTAATGACTAATGATGCTGAGCACCTTTTCATGTGCCTCTTATATATCTTGTTTGGAGAAATGCCTATTCAAATCCTTTGTCCATTTTTTTAATTGGGTTGTCTTTTTATTGTTGAGTTGTATGAAATCTTCATATATTCTAGATATTTCACTATTATCAGATATATGATTTGCAAATATTTTCCCCATTCACTGGGCTGCCTTTTTATTTTCTTGACAGTGTTCTTAGAAACACAAAAGTTTTTAATTTTGATGAAGTCCAATTATCTACTTTATCTTTGATTACTTGTGCTTTAGGTGTTTTATCTATTAAGTTTCTTAAAGTATCCCAATTCAAATTCTTGAAGTATTGTTGATGGACATATAAAATATAGTTGTTGCAAGTTTGTGACCTATGATCTTAAGACTTAATAGGTAATTTTACATGTAAGTATAATCAAAAGTCAATATATTAATTTTGGAACACTGAGGCTTTTGGAACCTTCCTTTGCAGATTTTGTAAAAAGAAAAAAGATTATTTCTGCTAAATTTAAATATGGTTTGCCATTTTACAATATGGAAAAATACCCACTTATCTTCATAGTCGATCTTCATTCCAAATATTTTGAAATGCAATAGAATACTTAGTGAGGTAGTGACGAAATTACTTAAGGTGCTTTCATCCTTTCCTTATACCTTCTACCAAAACCTCCAATCTTATCCCTATTCTTCAATAGGCTCAGAGGAGCTCTGTGAAACACAGTGTACAACTGTGATGATGATGGTGGTGGAGGGAGGAGATATTACTATTAATACTAGAAATATATTATTAGTTAAAAATAAACTATTAAAAAGTTTTCTGGGGGTGACCAGTTAGCTCAGTTGGTTAGAGCGTGGTGCTGATAACACCAAGGTTGCTAGTTCGGTCCCTACATGGGCCAGTGTGAGCTGCGCCCTCCTTAAAAGAGTCAACTATGCCATTGTAGCATGAAAGCAATGTGTAACCAATGACGATGGCTGTTGCCCAATAAAAAATAAAGTTTTCTGGGAAATTATCATTAATAACATTAATTCTATGAGAAAATGAGTTCTAGATTCCTTGTATTTTTTAAACCCAACAAATGTATACTTGAGGACTATCTATATGTAAATTTCATAGGCTCACCAACATAATTATTGGGTTGTTGGAAAAGTCATGAAACATTTTTGCAATGAAAAACATAGAAAAATACGTCATGACTTTTCTGACAACCCAGTATTATGTACCTATAGAAAACTAGTTTTCTTAAAAATTTTGAAAGTATATTAGAGTATAAGGTGTTGATTTTTATTCTTTATGGAAAGCCAGATGAACAGTGTAATTCAAGCCATACCCAATGGATATATCTGTGGCTAAATTTCTTTGCTCGTCTTCCTTCAGTTTTTCTTGTTTCTCTTTCATTTTCTGTTCTTGTTCCTTAAGTTTTTCTTCCTTCCTTTTACGAATTCTGAAAGTTAAAAACCATAGGTAGTAATCCATTCATAACCTCTTAGTAAAGCCATTACATCAGTGTGAGCCAATGTCACATTATAGTCCAATGTGAAACATGGGTTTAGATGCAAAGAAATAAACAGCTTTTATTATTTATTATATTAGACTATAATTATCTCTTACCTAGCAGCTGCTTCTTCCCTCTCTTTTCGATGTTGTTCTGCTTTTAATTCCCGGAACTCCTGTTTTGCCTGTCGTAATATATCAACATAATCTTCAATAAAATCCCTAGTAGAAACCAGGGTCAGTAGTTTCCCACAAAGAGCATGAAGTATCTTCATTTTTTCTCCTGTCAAAAATTGATAATTTCTACATTATTAATGACAAAAAATGAATTGTATTGGAAAAATTGTAATTTGTGGTTCAAGGTGAAAATGCTTAATAAAGACTAGGGGAAAGTCTCTTCAGATCAAACATGCCACTGGTGTGTCTTCAGAAAAAAGCAACTTTGAGTCCAACTTAACAGTTATGTGATATAAAGGCATTTCAAATACTAATGACTATCTTATATACTAGTTACATAGACATGAAAAATTTTCAAACTGTAAAGAATTGTTTTTCAAGTTTTAATTTTTAGGCTCACAAATGAAGTTCAAATCAAAACTAAAATATAACCACATAAATTAAAAAAATGGCAATAGGCAAATTGCTACTCTGAAAAGACTGCATAAAAGCACTACCATAAATTATAAAAACTATATGAATATTAGAAATTAAGGTACTGTATTTCTATTATATGTTCTCTAAGCACATTAAATTAAACTGTATATATTTGTATAATTTTTTATTTAAAAAAGAAAGTGAAAAATAACTTCATCTTAACTTTATATATTGTTTCTTATACCTCAAATACTTATTCAAGGAATTGTTAAAATTTAGCAGCTACAGCTTAAACTTCTGATATACTAATTAATACAAATGAAAGCTAGTTAATTCTCACTTATTCTTTTAAACTTAGTAGATTCAGTAGATTTACCACAAATTTTTAAAATAATAGAAAATCCAAAAGAAAAAGAAAATAAAATCATAAATCATTAAAGCTAATATGAACAATAACGGTAGTTTAAATTTAGGTCACTATTGGCATACCAACACTTTCTCTCCCTCTCTCTCTCTCTCTCTCTCTCTCTCTCTCTCTCTCTCTCTCTCTCTTTTTAATAAAACTGCTTTCTCTCTCTTTTAAAACTGATTATCATCTAAAACTTCTCATCAGCTACCTAGTTTTCTGGATGTAAAAGGCCTAAGAGGGTAGAAAGTGGGCAGGTTAGACAGATTCCAACTTGCCAAGTTTACCTGGAGTCAAATCATACACTGAAGTGCTTGACAGTTTCTTCACTAGACTGGGATTACTTAAGCGAAGCTCCATACAGGCATCATCTGTAGCATCAAATCCCCCTCGTTTCTGATATCTGTACTTTGCATTTGCTGATGTGACATCAGCACCTGAAGCTAAGATGTGTAGTCTGAGGATTTCAGAAAGAGTGCAGCTATCAAGATCCAAGCTTTTCAAACTGCAGCCTATAGTTGTTAAAAATGAAACAGTCATTTAGAATACAAACAATAAATATTCAGCAATGTAAAATGTACCTTTATAAAATTAAAAATAAAAAGCCAATAAAATAAAAAAAATAAAGCCCACACATACCCTGGTGCAACTGCGGCCATGCAGCTGCCAAAGATGCAACTGCAGACAGTGCAGATTTTGTGGGGTCTGCATCTTCATCCAAAGCCTCTGTTAAATCTTTAAGGAAATAAATACTTTATTCTAGTGCAAATCAAAGCTTGAATATTTGGGAACAATGCCCTTTTAAAATGATGAAAGAAACAGCAAACAGCTTAACATTCACGAACCTCAAAAGAACCAACACTAGGTACACCAAGCATCATTCACATTCTGCCTAGTCTCCACCTGAAACTACGAATCCTATGACATGCACCACTCTAATATTCTGCTTACCTAACATAGAAGACAATTTCCAAGTTACCAACAAGATGTATATATACATTCCAAAATGGCAAAATGCACTTTAGAATGAAAAACAATTCTCCTTGCTTAATATAACTTTAGAAAAATCTACTCTGAAAATCAGAATGCACTTGAAGATATCCAATCTTTTATAAATATTTTAAGACTGAATCATAACAAAGTGTAGGTTATAATAATCACAAAACCAGCGCAGAAAAAGAGCTAAAAGAACTTAAAGACAGCACTGCTGTCACTTAACCGTTAATTTATCCTCTTCATTTAAATTGCTTGTTTTTAATTTGAAAACTCTCCAATCCAAGAAACAACAGGAAGATTTTCCTGTATTTTCTAAGTAAATTGCTTTAGCTTTCAAAACAGTACTTAGGTTACAAATAGGACTAAAGGGCAAATCTATAAGCACAGATATATTTAAAGCACTAGTATATAAAATTGTTTCTAATTGTAATACGTAGATGATAAAAAAAATTAAAGCGTCAACTTGAAAAACTTTAAGCTTACAGAAAACCATTCTGTTATAGTATAGAGGACATAGCTTCAGACTAAGTCAGATAACGCATATTTCTAGTCTTAGCTCTGCCGGTCCCTAGTTCATAGTTATGTAGCCTTTAGACAAGTCACTTAATTGGCTTCATTTTCCTTAAAGGGATGAGTCTAGATCAGCAGTTTTCAAATTCTTCAAATATTTCTTAGAAGCCCAACATAAGAGAGTAAAAAGTGCCCTTGTTAAAGTGGGGTACAGAGATGACAATCCTGCCCATTCATCTTTCCAACTCTCCTGCAGTGGCATCAAGGAAATCACTGTACAACTTGTAAGGTTCTATGGATTAGAGTTTGGAAAACTCTGGGCGAAACTGGTCCTGCGGTTCTTTAACTTTCTATTATGTGGTTCCCCTCCTCAAGTTCACAAACTCACAAATGAACCAGAGAGAACAGAACTGCTGTCCTTTACTAAAGGAAAAAGGCAGCTCTAGGATCATGTCTGATTACAATCAGTGACAAGTTCATGGTAGTTAAAGCATAAACAATACCACACAGGAGAAATCTGACTAAATTTTACATACATGCAGAAGTTATTCCTACCAGGCCATGAATATAGTCCAAAGACAGACATTACAATTATATTCTTCCTCACCCGGGAAATACTAGAACCTAAGACTTTTTAAATTTTCATTTCACATATAAAGCCAAACAAACAAAATTAATAGGCACTCTAAGATTAACAACAGTCCGAGATGCAGAGCTGTAAAAGTGTACTGGCTCTCTTCCTTTGCAGCAATCACCACGTTCAACCTATTTTATCTATAGTAAGTTACAATTTCCTAAAACAAAGGCTATTATTAAAGGCCTTAGGAATGGACAACCAACAAAATGACAGTTTACTTTTAATTGTATTAAACTAACATGTTAAAATATGTATTCTTTAAAATGGTACTCTCTATATATAATCTATTCTATATAAGGAGGATACTCTTTTTCCCATTCTTTGAAGGAATTTTAAACTTATGATATAAGACTAAAGAGGAATAGATATTTTTAATATAAAATTTTAAAAACTGCTGGTCAAAATCTAAAATTTGATATAAAAACAGGGGGATTAAGGCCCAAGAAATTAGATCTTCTTGCAGATAATTTTATAGGCAATGCTAGGGAAATAAATATTCAAAATTTCACTTCTTTGCCATATTAAGAAGCAATATAGCCTAGTCATTATGAGGCTAGACCAGACTGTCTCAGTTTGTATCCTATCACTTTGTCAGCCGTGTGTCTTTGGGTAAGTTAATTAAATTCCTAAAGTCTAAGTTTCTTTATATGTAAAAGACAGAGAATAATTATTATCTACCTCATAGGGGTGATATGAGGATTAAATGAAACAACGCATACATAGTCTTGTATCACTATTAGCTATGTGATATTCAGTAAATAACCTCATTGAACCTTAGTTTTCTCATCACTAAGATAAATTCATACTTTTCCTTTCTGCACAATTTCCCCTTTTCTAGAAATAGCAGGAAACACCAGCTAAAGAGGAAGTAAGAGAATATTTAGTACTACCTGAGTACTCAATTGGTTTCAGGAAGACTGTAGAAAAGCTTTCTTGTTACTGAGATTTGAGAACATATGAAAAATACCTGGGGGAACAATGTAGGACCCTTACTGAAATTGAAATAACCATGTAAAATGTGGCCAATAATAGGGAAGTGAGAGAAAGGTGAAAAATTCCAAAGTATGTTTTTTCCCCTCCCTAACATTTAAATAAATATTTTCAAAATGAGCATTAAAAACTTTATTCAGAGGTAGACCTTATATTTATATTTATAGACATTCCTATATAGGAGTAGAACTATAAAAATTACATATTAAACAAATCAAGAATAGAATATATAATGACAACACAAAAACACCAACAGTCATATATATTTTCCTTTACGCTGCAAAGCTGATTTCCAACACAATTTTCTTGCCATCAAGACTTCCAAACTACAATACTCATCTGCTTCAAATCCTGAATTAAATACAGTTTTATTTCCTGTATTAAAGTCAGAACTTGGTCAATAATCCTGTGATGTTACTTGGTCATTACGACAACCTAATGGTTACAAGAATGAATATTTGCTGCATTATCTGTCTTACATAATCCACCTTTAGTGATGGTACTTGTCATCTTAGATAATCTTTAGATGTTTTATAAATGGATTTACCCTTTTGTCTTTAGTAGAATCTCATTTAATTGATAAAGTCACCTGAGATGATGACGAGGACCATATTGCTAAAATGGCCTTGATAAGGGGCCTATGGTGATTGGTACTCAAGCTAAAGAATAGATTTTCCTTGAACTCAGGCTGTAAAATCAAAAGGCAACCAACATTGGATGTATATTCATCATTATCCTGTTGCTCCAGGGACCAGGCATAAAGGAAAATGAGCTCAAATTATCTAAGGCCAACAAATACTATCCAAATGGATGAATGTCCCACTATTCTGCACCAGGACTCTGCTATCCAGATGTCTCCCAACAGTTATTTCTTATTGTGAATTTTATGCAATACACTAAAGTATTGTTTAATAAAGCTTCTGATCCTAAATCTCATGAGGCAAAGTTCACAGTGTTATTTAGGAAGACAAATTAATCTCTTAATATAAATGCTTAACAATTCTTCTGATTGAGGTAAATCCTAAACAAAATAGTGAACATATTATTTTAAAAATAAAAAAGGTTTTCCCCAAAAATCATTCCTACATTAATGTGTACCACATTGACTCTAGATATTTAAGTGCATAAAATTAAAAGAGCAAAATTTCTAGTTCAAACTAATTAGTGAAATAAAAATAAATAAATTTCACTTAACCCTGATTTAAAAACTGTTGGATAAGATCTGAAATGAAATTACAGTAGTATTTTCCATTTAAAGCATTAATAACAATTAAAATTTTCCTTAGGTGGAGGCAAAAAAATCAGTGCTACTTAGCAGAATCTCTTGGAATTACAGATACTGGTCAATGAAATCTGTAATGCTCTTAAATCATAGGAGAAATCTAACAGAATACAAAGCAAGATAGATTGGGGAGGAAATATTTTTAAGGTCATCAGAAACAGGATACAGTACAACAAAGTTTTTATAAAACAACCGAGAATGTGTTGTTAGTATATGACTCAAGAATCGGGTAACTTGAACAACTATGTTTTATAACTGTAAAAGCAAGTTAATTTTAAAATAACCTTCAAAAATGAGTTTCATTACAAAGTTAATATCAATCAGCAATAACACTGAGTTCTGACCTTTGGTGTCAGCATCAGTTATTTGCTCTTTGGCTACTTCCTCTTCTTCTTCTGCTATCGCCTGGAAGATGGCAGTCAGGAAGAAAAAAAGCAATTCACATAGTGGGCCTTCACTGTCATTTCCTACAAGAGCTTCCTCTAACACTTCTGTGAATAAAATGTTTAAAATGAATTGAAAGTTCTGTTCATGTACTAACAAAACAACTCTAATGGAATCATAAACATTTGAATCAATAATAGCCTGTGTAACTATTTTCTTAAGTGCCCATTTATCAAAGCAGAGCCAAGTATTACCCAAGGCAAAATAAAAAAACAATTTATAATGATTACAATAAATTCTAATAAAACCATTAGCCAAAATCACTGCATTCAAGAAAGCCAAATTAACCTCAGTAGATCAATACAATATTTCATATAAGTTTAAATTTGAGGTGCAAATTAAGGGACATATTTAAAACTATAATTTTATTCTAATTTGAATAACAATGCAGAGATTTGTTATTGTCCCACTGTTCTTAAGAGCTATGTGGGGCATAGCTATTTACCAAACAGTGCATAGGAGAGGTAATTATCTGTATTAAGTATAGTATCGTGTGCGTTTCTCGTCTAATTCATTTGACCTAAGCCAGCATTGTTTAGACCTTTTTGATCTGTAAGGCACAATGACTCATACCTCACCTAGCTCATAAAGGGAAATTAAGGGAATATGAAAGTCCTCCTGAAAAATGCACTGTTACTAAAACAAGAGTGGCATTATAATTCTGTCTTTGAGGGTCTTTACTTTGATCTTAAGCAAGTTATTTTACCATTTGACAACTAAAAATCCAAAATGGATCTAAAGCCCTCCTCATACCAATTTAGCTTTTTAAAATGATGTTTATACAAAGTAAAAGTATGTAAGTACAGAGGCAAAACAGAATCACAAATTAAAGGTAGGCAACAACTCGTCTCCAAATACGGCTGACAACAATTCCTTCCCTCCCCCCATTACCTACCATGCCACCCTCAAGGAGTGGAGTCTATTCTTTTACCCCCTTGAATCCCAGTAGGCCTGACGAATGGAATATGGCAAATACAGGCCTGCCAGTTCCAGGCCGAGCCTGGAAAAAGGCTGACAGTTTGTTTCCTGCCTCTTGGAGCCCTCAGCTGCCACATAAGAAGGGCAGGCTGCTCTGATGGAGTGGTAAGCCAAGTGGAGGAGCACTGAGGCACCGGGCATGCGTGTGAAGAAGCCATCTTGAATATCTAGCCAGGTAGGCCTTCAGATGACTCCAGTTCCAGCCACTGTCTGACAGTAGACCCCAAGAGATGACTAGAAAGCTAGGCCCAGTGACTTCACAGAACTTTGAGAGATAATAATTTGTTCTTTCAAGCCATTAATTTTAAGGTGAACTATAACATAGCAATATCACTTGCCTAGGGTTACTCCTTCAGGAAATTCATCTTGAAGATCAAAAAGTTCCCCAAATGCATTAAGGAATTCCAAAACCATTAGAGCATCACCAAAGATTTCAGGAGGTAGTCTAGTTTTCACTGGAGTTGGTTCTGGAAGTTCCTGCAAGATTAAACAATTTATGTAACTACTTGAACCATATACAGGAAACTTTAAAAGGTAGATATGATATTATTTCATGTAGACGAGTAGTTCTCAACCCTGAATGTTTATCACAATCAGCTTTAGAACTTTTAAAATTATAGATGTGCTGGACTTATTACAACTTTACTAAATCAGTCTCTAGGGACTTTTTCCTTCATCAAACTAAGAACATAACTTTAGGCTCGAGTGTATTTCTGACTATATTACCTCGTTAGGAGGGTCTTTTACCCTAGATTCTGAGGTTAAGGCATCAGCTGTGCCAATAATATCTTCAATGCAGGATTTCCTTAGGATATGGAACAGAATTAAACCACCATCTACTGACTTAGAAAAGGTGATGAATGAATTTGGTTTGGATACTTTGATTGTTTCTGGAGACGGGAATAATCTTTACCTAGCAATTAAGCTAAAAGCATGCCTGGCACCATTGGTTATTAGATTATCAAGGATCACACAAATAAGCAATTATTTCTCAGAATCAAAGTCATTACCAAAGCTTGTTATAAAATGCTAACAATGCTACCTTGGAACTCTAAATATAGCAGTTGCTTAACTGGCTATTTCCTCAGTTAAATATGAAGAGGCCACAATTAAAAAGAAAGAAAGATTTCTTCAGCAAAGCCACACAGCACACATAGAACATGGGTGTGTGAAACATCACATAATATGCTTATACCTTAAGATCATCACATTCCATATCTTCTCTTGGTTTATTCCACTGTTTTAAGTATTCCATATATTTTCGTTTTTCTTCACGTAATTTCTCTCTTTCCTAAAACAAAAGGTTAATAAAAATTCTTATAAGACATTGGTAAGGAAGCATTAGCATCACCTGGGAACTTGTAAAAATTACAAATACTTGGGCCCTACCCCAGATGTACTGAACCAAGAACTCTGGGGTTGGGACTCAACAACTGATGTTTTTGGGACTCAACAACTAATGTTTTAAGAAGCCTTTCTGGTAATTTTGATGCACACTAAAGTGTACGAACCACTGATTAAAACAATGCCATTCTGACAGAACTTCTACAAAGACAGATGGAAAATGTCCGTCACACAGTAGCTCTTGGATAAATATTAATTCAATCTGATCCTGCCTACTGCAGCTCTTCCCCTACTTCAAATCAATTAGATCCTAACAAAGTAGGTAAAATTATTAAAGTACCTAAAATAAAACCTCCCCTTATATTTGCAATACATTTGTTGTTTTCGAGGTTTATTTAAACCTGACTGACACTCTAGGGACACACAGAGGGAGCAGTAATTAAAAGCAGTATTAGAACACAGTTGGCGAACTTCTCTTGCTAGTTAATCCAGGCCACTTCTCTTGCTCGCTTGGTCTTTTTAAACTCTTAATTCTTGGTTCTGGTATGTGAAACTGCAAGATAAATACTGACACTAAAAAGTCTCTAATAAAGCAGCACATAAATAAAATATTTTATTATAATTATTTTCCAATAAATATGTTTAATGTTAATATTATTCTTTGAAATTTAGGAACACTGAAGGTAAACAGATGTGCATTTACCAAATTTTTAACATAACATGGCTGGATGGTTACAGACCTTACTGGCTGTGCTTTAAGTAGTCTGCTGCAGTAAGTCATACTCCCACCCCAACATAACTCTTGTAGGATGTAAGGTGGGCATTTTCATTTACTGTTGCTAACAGTGTAAATAAGCACAACATGTTTGATAAACAAATACCTATGTACGTCTATAGAAACTTTTAAAAATCTTCTCACCCTTTGACCTATTATTCTACTTCTACAAATTTATCCAGAAACATAATCTAAAAACAGGAAAGACTTGTATTCACTAAATTGAATAGCATATTATTATCTATGAGCAAAGAATTATAAAGCACTTACCTGTATCTATCTGATTAAATATTATGCAGTTACTAAAAATTCCACCTTAGTTTGTTTAATAACATGAAGAAATGCTTATAATAATGTTAAACAAACAAAAAAATATACACAACTATAAATGCTGGATCTCTTTTTTTAAGGTCCAGAATAAAGACTAGAAGTAAATTTATCAAAGTGTTAATGCTATTTCTAAATGCTACCATTTAGATCACAAGTGGTTTTTTTGTTCTGTACCTTTTCTGGAATGAACATATATTAGACATCTCCACCCTGACCCCAAGGGCCTATTTGAAATAACTCAAAAAACTTCAGGCAATCTAAATGAGCACAGTGCATAACACGATCATCTAAGGCTACTTGTGAATATCTCAGAAAAACAATGACAGTGACTGTCTTTGGAAAAAACCAGCTATAGAATTCTCTAAGGAGTATCTACTGCTAAAGTTATAATAAAGATTTGCTGAACTACCCTATTATCACAGACACCTTATTCTTCAAGAATAAGAACACTGTAGTAATTCTTGTTAGTCACAGATTTTATTGTATTTTTCTAACTATGTATTTTTTTTAAAGGTATAGTTTATTTTATTTATTATTTTTTTCTTTTTCTTTTTTTTTTTTTAGCTGAGCCATCCTGTCACCTGTTGGCAGCTCAGTGGCAACTCAGCTCGGGCCGGGCATCGAACCGCTGTTGCTCAGAGCTCACACTCTTGCGTGAGCTCTTAACCAACTGAGTCACTCGGCCGGCCCCTAACTATGTATTTTACTTTTAAAGGTTTTACGCATATCACCTTCCTTAATTTGTAAGTCTATATGATAAAGAAGATCAACTTTAGAATTGCACTTTAGAAGAGGCTTTGAGGTGTAAAGGAATGCATATATATGTTGAACCTTAAATCACTCATTAAATTTTCCAAAGCAAAAGGGAGATTAAACACCAATTTCAAAGAAACCAATATTCTCCTTTGAAATTGGTGTTTATCGGTGCTCTATGCACACCTATACGTGAATATAAATCAAAGTGGTAAAAACACTTGAAGATTAACCATGAATTTAAGTATGTAGAGCACTATTTACTAGATGTAGAGAGCATAGCTAATATACTTGAATGAATACCTTTTCTCTTTCTATTTTAAGCCTTTCTTTTTCTTCTTTCTTCTTTAGTTTCTCTTCTTCAACAATTTTCTTCAATTCTTCCTTCTTTTTCTCTTTATCTTCCTTTTCTTTTTTCTTTGCTTCTAGGGCATCTGCTTTTTCTCTTTTTAATTTAGCCTTTTCAAAAGCTGTGGAGGAGGTCAAACTTAGAACTGTACACAGATGGAAAACAACACATTTTTTAATGTAACAAAAGAATCTTCAAGTAATTTAAGGTTAAGTGAGATCAGTAGAGACTCATAAGGGTTATAAATTCCTGGAGGAAGCCAGCACGTGATTAACCCTCAATCAGGCGCAACTGATCTCACAGATTCATTGCACACAAAGATGCCGCTATGAAATACATCTTTATTGTACTAAGTCACAAACACGACTGGCAATAGGTTATGGTAAAGGGGGAAGATACGGAAGTGATAAGTCATGACACTTAAGTTAACTGTTAAATATTTGAAAATTTGTCTGCAATAAATCTGTGAGATCAGTTGTGCCCGAAGGGGGGTTAAAATGGGGAAAAGAAAGTTGGCTGGGTTTAAGACAAACTACTGCACTGGGACAAACATTTACCTGCCTTTTAAAGCCCTGCTACTCAAGGAGTGTGATCCTAAGACCTGCAGCAAGGTTATCACCTTGTTAGAAATGCAGAATCTCTTCTCTCACCCAGACCCATTAATTTAGAATCTTCATTTTAATAAGGTTCCCAAGTGATTCATACGCACGTCACGTTTGTGTGAATCAAACAAAATGGGCCAAAATAGTTTGTAAGCCCTAGAAACTCCAACTTGTGCTTAATCTGGCATTAGGTCAGTTTAACAAGGGATATGCTCTACCTTAAAATATTGTTTTATGAGAAGAGGTCTCATTTATCACAAAAATCAATAGATACCAGACAGAAAAAACTATGCTTACAAAAACAAAAATAAAAGCACCCAGGAATATGCCATTTTAGAAACATTCCCTACCCAGACACAGAGAAATATTCTTTCCTGTACTTAAACAGTTTTTGGAGAGAATGTTAAAACTCACCCAGTGACTTCATTTCTTCTTGTTTCAAAACTTTGTCTCTTTCTTTCGTGGCTTTATTCCTATAACTTGCAATAGTCTGTTTCTTAGCAATGCTGTCCTCCTAAAAAACAAACCAAGAAACTAAAGTTGTAGAACCACAACTTTTACAAATTGATGGTCTGCCTTATTCTTACAGGAAGAGTAAACCCCCCCCAATTTAAAAGCCCTCGTCAATTATACTTTTTATACAAAAATGAGGTTTTATTCTAAAGCATAACTGAACTTTTTAAAAAAATGATATTTATTGAGGCAACATTGGTTAATAACATTAGATAAATTTCAGGGGTACAGCATTATAATTTGACATCTGTTTACTCTATTGAGTGCTCACCAACTAAAGTCCGGTTTCCTTCTATTACCATATATTGGATCCCCGTTACCCAATTCACCCTTCCCCACTGGTAACCACCATTCTGTTATCTGTATTTATGAGTTTGTTTTTGTTTGTTTTGTTAGTTTGTCTGTTACTTTTTACTGTATATTCCACATATGAGTGAAATCATGCAGTTTTTGTCCTTTTTTCTGTCTGGGTTATAGCCAAACCTTTGATAACTCTAATCATAGAAACATACCAAATGAGTTAATTCTATAGTTACGAATTAGTACTAAAACCTCCCAGAAAAACAACTGGTAACATATAAAGAGAGACATAAAAACATGCATTAGAAAACAAAACAAAACAAAAATCTTCCAGGGTACCTTATATACTAGATGGTGCAGACGTATGTAAGAAGTAGAGAAAAGACCTATCAGAAATATTCTTGAAGCAATGTTAAACAATGTCAAAAGTTTGTTTTAAATGCTCTTTATGTTTCAATACCATGATTTATGCCCTGTATTTCATCCTGCTTTACATTTTTAATAATTGCTTATATACTTGTTTTCCACTGTGATATAAAATCCCTGTGGCATGACAGCAATGTCTACTTCATGACAGCAATGTCTACGTCACACTTGAAATTTCTACAAGCCTCACTGCTGAGCAGTTATCACCATATAGTACACACATTTTGTGTTCCTTCCTACAGGCTATGGAGGTAGGGGAGCCAAACACTACTGATTTTGAATAGTTTTATTAAGAGCTACAAGATTTTTTTTTAAAATCTGTTCTCTACCTACCTGACTAACAGATCCTCGTTTGGGAGGTCTCCCTCTTCTTCTGTTAGCAGGACTGAAGATAAAGGTGGGTGGATCATCAGGGAAGAAATAAGAAAAATCTTGTTCTGCTATTTTATATGTTGACAGAGATGATCCCTTCATAAAAAAAGACATAGGGTACAATAACACATTAATAAACTATATATAGATATGCTCTACTATGTCATATGACTGCTCTTAAAAACCAGGTAAAAAACATTAGAATTTGTGTTATTATGTAGTAATATACATTTTACTTGGTCTACTTGATGCTTCTAAAAACTATATAATTAATCAGCTTTACGAGAAAGAAAACCACAATTCAAAAGATTATTTCACCATAAAACACTCAACAATGTTTCAACGGTTTCTCAATTCTAAAACTATTCTAAAATTACATTTCCAAACAATCTTTTTTTGTTTGCTTTGCTTTTGACAATTTTGTATGAGATTTTCAATGTAAATAAATAATCCACATATTTGACATTAGAACCTAGTATATTAACCGATAAGTTTTTCTTAACCATTTCCTAACTGCTGAACATTTAGATTTTCACCCCAGTTTGGGGTAATAAATAACTTTAAACTTAAATATTTTTATGTATCAGAATTTAAAATTGGTCTGGATAAAAGCAGAAATATTGAAAAATTCCTGTAAAGTATCAATTCAGAATTTAAGTTCAGAGAAATCAACCTCATTTTTATCAGAAGTGATGTGGTGCTAGAATAACTGCTAAATTCAAAAGAGTTTCTCTTTTTATTTTGTACTCAGGACTTGTTCTTCTTTCATCCATGTTCAACTCTAGACTTTTTACTTTTGATTAGCAATTCTGAAGATTACTTTGGTCTAATGGCTAAAGTCATCATTCTTTCTAAGAAAACATGCCATTTACAGAAATATCTTTCAGGAAATATATAAGAAAATAGTGATATACAATTTCAAATTAATAACAAACCAGGAATACTTCTGGGAATTCAATTTTCTGCATATTTTCATTTTTAGTAGAACATAGCTTTTACTATCTAAAATTCAATTAGTTCTGGCCATCACAATAAATCAAGAATCTATTAAAATTTTACATAAATTTTATTAATATGGTCATCTACTATCCCACATAAATAATCCTTGAATATACATAATTGCCCTTAAAGTACGAATATAAACAACATGAGTGGTTTCTTCTCAAATATATATACTCAAGAAAGGTTAAAATACGTTTTAATACATTAATTGCCAAGGTTCCTTATTCGCACATACATAACACACAATAAATACCCACACTGTTGTGCACTTGTAGGTACTCCTACAACAGACTATACACTCACTACAATGGGTATCAAACTGTTGTTTTGGGATGTGTGTGTCTGTATGCATGTGTGCACAAGCACGCTTGCACCAGATATCCACTAATCATTTATTATACTCTAAGAGAAAAATGTTTACTGTCACCTTAATTTTCATTTATTTATTATGGAAAGTTGAACTTCTTTTCATGTTTATTGACTGTTTATTTTCCTTGGTAAATAAATGATGATGTCCTTTACCACTTTTTTCCAATTGGGTTGTTTTTGTTCATTGATGTTAAGAGATCATTGTAAATTAGAGGAACTGGCGAGGTGGCTGTTCATGATACACATATACAACTTTTCATACATCTATTCACTGATTGCCTACCAAGTGCCAGGCACTGTTCTAGTCACTTATCACAAGTATCAAAATAATTTCGTTGTAAGCATCATTTTATATGTCTATCTGATGTTCAATGTTATAGATAAAGCATAATTTAAGCATTCTCCTCTTATCAAGACAAATATATAAATATGCTCACGTTAAAAAAATATTTCTCATGCATGCTAAGGTTTGAGAACCATGGCTCTAACCCAGATCTGGCTCTAACCCAAATCTGGCTCTTCTGAGAACACTGCTTTCCTGCAGCCCTCCAAAGTGGAAGCTGTTTACTGATTTCATTTCTTGGACTACTGGCGTGGGGTTTCCTATCACTTTGTTGAAGTTCTCCCTGAGATTACTGAGCATCCTTATAACCGGTGTTTTGAACTCTGCATCTGGTGATCTAATACATCAAAGCAATCAGAGTGACAGCCAGAATGAAGAAAC